GGCCGGGTCAAAACTGGGCTTGAAGTTAGCTGCAATCAGAGTCTTTGTTTTGGGTTTCTTTGTTTTGGGTTTTGGCTCTTGTTGAATCAACCTTCAAGATCTCTGGCCAGGGTGAGAGATCAAGCAGGCCACTTCTCAGAACCCATTGCAAAGGCTCCCCAAAATTTGTGTCTAGTCTTCAGTTTGCTTGTGATGTAGTTGGACCACGGCTTATATTCCGCCGTGCGTCAAACAGCACTTTTTCTGACTGTGGCTTTGTCGGTCTCATTGGTTGGGGTTGGGGGGGTGGGGGGGGGTGGGTTGGGGGGTGGGGGGGGATGTTGTCGTTCGTGGGGACTGCATCAACGTTCGCTGTTAGTTTTGGCTCAGATGTTCTTGTGTGAAGACGCTCGTCTGGCTTTGGGTCTGATCTTGGTTCTTCGTTGCGCTGGCTGTTCGCACTGGCTGCGTGGTCACTCAAGCCTTGGTCCGTTCTTTGAGGTTTGTCCGATATATCTCGACTCTCTTTTTGACGTGGTCACGCAAACTGCTGACCCGTTCCTGGCTTTTGTGGCTGAGGTTGTGCTGATTCCTCATCGGTTCCCTTTGGAGTTCGACTGTCTCGGTCCTTGCTTGCGTTTGCCTCCCACGCAGGTTTTGGACAGGACCTGGCAGTCTCTTAAGACTTGGCTGCCACCGAAGGTGTGTGCCAAGATTAAAGTTGACGGATCTAGCCAGTTCCACCCTGCTGTGAAACAGCAGGTTTTCCAGTGGAACTGGCGGCAAACGCTAGGTGCTCGAAGCCCTGGCGAGTTCTTGGCTGATTTGGAAGGTTTGCTGTAATCAGAAACGCGGTCGGTGTTTGAGTGAGAAAAACCAGTGCACCTTGCCGATTTCACGCTAGTTTGCGAGGAACAAAATCCTTCTTTTCACTGGCAAAAACCAGCGAAAATGGTAACCCTGCTTGGAGAGAGCGCGCAAGCGCATGGAAACCATTCAAGGTGGAGATTCGTTGGCATTTCCCAGTGGAAATCACGTTCCAGGCTTGACTTGAGACAGCGAATTGCCATTTCGAGTCACGGCGGAATATGAGCCGTGGTCCTAGTTCCCCTTTGGTTTTGAACGAAATGGGGATGGGTGGTATATGGCTTATGCTTCAATGTCGCCCTCAGCTATGTAGGTTTGACCTGACATGGCAAACTCAAAGGCCAACAACGTCCGGCTGCAAGACGCTTTGCGGGGAAACCTGAAATACCTTCCTGCGATGCTTGCTGCTCGCTCCACGTGGGACCAGTTTATTGGCCTTGGGCAACAGAGGGGTGGCATTCCTCAGTTGGTTGCTATATAATTCTTTTCGGAGAGATCATTTCCTAGGTGCATCAGGTAACCCTGGTTGGTGGTTTGGATTGCCGGTTTGCATTTGGATTTGAAGCCCTGGTTCTTGCGGAAGCATGGGACACCACCTCGGAACACCTCCAAACCGGGCTCCAAACCAGCCAACAACGCGGAAAGCTGAGTACTTCGGACTTGTTGCATCCAAAAATCCGCGGAGGTGGGTTTTCCGGCACAGTTTGTGGCGCGCTCTCGGCGTAACACGAGCTCCCCTCTCCCGTACAATGCAGGCGTTGGAATTATAGACACCTTTTCAAATGATACCACGCAACTGCCAAAAGCCTCGGATTTGTTACACGACCTTTGAGTGCTGAATCGGAGGAGAGCAGGGAAGGCAACGCGACCTCTTTCTTTTTTTGAGGGTGGACAGTTTGTTGCGTGAAATTGGACTTGAAAGGGCATCCACCATCTTGCTAGCTGAGTGCTCAAAAGAAAACTCAGAGGAAGTCCACCAATTTGATTGGTTCCCTGTTGAGACACCCCCCCTTCCCCCCTCCCCGCGCTTTGAGTGTCCTGGTCAGGTCTTCGGACATGCAGCTGTCAAATGCTCGGCTCGAAAGCACGTGGTGCAGCTGGGACAGAACAGCCGTCTCTGGTTCCGGCAAAACAGGCACTGATGTACAGAAACATGTCTGCGCCTGAAGGCGCGATCTTTTCAGGCAATGCGTTGCCTCAGATGTCAAGCATGGAAGGCACTGTTAGTGATGCAATGTGCAGTCTTGATGCGGTTTCACCATGAAGCATTAGTATGACTCTTGCCCATGGTTACCAGCCCAAGTGTCCATGCTTCTTCTTTGTGCACTTGGAGCCAGGATTCAATGCGGCGATTTTCTCACATCAAGGTAAACACCTTGATTGCGGCGGTGAACCGCATTCCGTGCCGAGAGGCAAAAGAGAGAGTGCTGGGTGCCGCAGTGGCACCGCCATCAGGTCCCCTGTCCACTTCCATGACTGAAAGGAGGGTAGCACCTGTAACAGTGCGAGGGACAGTGTCAACGGCTTCTGTAAAGCGATACCACCCGCAAGTTCCCACACGTGGGCTGAGCATTGCCAATTCCAGTGGCAGTGATAGCATTGCCAGACGTTGCCATTGTTCTCAGTTATTTGTGCGTCTTCTGTGTCAAGACAGGCTGAGTTCAACTCCGCATCCAAGACATCAGCTGCGGAGGCGGGGCCGGGGCTTGGAAGTTCAAGGCCCTTTGCGGCTGTTCAGGGTCCTAACTAACCAAAAAGCTCCCAACGATGAGCTTGTGCCTGCCTGCCTGCCTGCGTGCTTGCTTGTTTGCTCGCTTGCGTGCGTGCTGGCTTGCTCGCTTGCGTGCGTATGTGGGCTGCGTGCGTGCGCTGCATGCGTGCGTGCGCTGCATGCGTGCGCGGCGCTTCGTGCGTGCGCTGCATGCGTGCGCGGCGCTCTGTGTGTGTGTGTGTGTGTATGTATTGTATTTGTTCTTGTGTTTGTGTTTGTGTTTGTGTTTGTGTTTGTGTGTGTGTTGTGCTGTGCTGTGCTGTGCTGTGCTGTGCTGTGGTTTGCTGTGCTGTGCTGTGCTGTGCCGTGCTGTGCTGTGCTGTGTTGTGTTGTGTTGTGTTGTGTGTGTGTTTGTCTATCTGTCTGTCTGCGTGTCAGTGTCAGCACACCTGCAATTAGTTGTGGCTAGTGTCAACCTGGGAGTAATCCGGAGGGCCCTGCTAGTCATAGGACCCCAAATAGCTAAAATGGCTAGAGGGGAACAATCCTTGATACGAACAACCCGGATCAATCCGAAGTTAACATTAACATGAACATGCTTGTTCGGCCCGGTTGTCAAGTGGTACCTCTGTGTTCCTTTTGGGGTCGCCTTAGATTAAACAATAAGCAAACAACAAAACAAGTGATGTTCTCAAACCTGGAGTCGAAAGAATTGGTTCCAGGCCCTTTTCGAGACCCGCAAACCAGCGTGACGAGTTGGGCCGCTTTTAAACTGCATGTCAACCTCCATGACTGTTAGAGGGAGGGTAAACGAAGCTGGAAGATGGGGCCATTTAGGCCATTTTTAGTCATGTCCAAGCACGTGATAAGAAAAGTGTCTCCCTGGTCACGCCTGCACTTTGGCATCACAGAACAAAAAGGTTATGGCACTCCACAAAAACTTGGCATGCCCCCCCCCAAAAAAAAGAGAAAGAGCGATACCTTTTTGAGGATGCTTCTTCTCCGAAAAAAAGACATTCCGCGGGGGAGTCTTGCGGCACTTGCTGTGGCTTTCAGTCAGAATTTGCACCCCCTTGCGGGCAACTTGGCAAGGCAGCACAGTCGGTCTTTGAGTCGCAGCCGAAGCAGAGCTCAGCTGAGGCGCCGTTTGTTTCGTGAAAGAAAGGGTGGCCCTTTTGGGTGTATTTCGGGACATTTGTTTAAAAACTCAATTCCCCTTCATGTAACCAACCCTTGTGCCCTTTTGCCCCTTGGACCGCCTCCGGCGGTCCAAGTCTGACCAAGTTTTTAGGGCGGCACAAAATGGCGCCGTCTCGCAAGGAGCCGCCATTGTCACTCCAGGTGGGTCTAGCCACTTCTCTGCTGTCTTCGGTACCACTTGGTTCTGGGGTCCGCAGACCCAAACACGGTCTTCAAGAAACCAAGAAATCGTGTGAGATTGAAAGTCATTTGGTGTAATGATTCTGACTCTTCGGTTATAGAGAGCTTTCGCCATCAAATTCTCAAAGGTTGATCACCTCTGATATATTCTTGATTTCCAGGCCTTGATTTCCATCCCTCGGTTCCCAAGCGGAGTTTCCATAACGTTCCAAAACCCAGGGATGAGCTCCTTCTGGCTTCCCTTTTGAAACCCGTCCAAACCGAAGGGGCTTCCCAATGTTAGAAAAACCATGGGGGAGTTGATGAACTGGAGATCGAGGATGCTTGCCCGCCGAGCGTTTGACGCAAAGGTGCTAAATATCAACGAAGAGGAACCAAGAGGGGATGGGCATTTTGCTCATCTTTTCCAGACCTCATCTTCAAGACCCAGTCGTTTCACAGCTTGTTGTTCCTTTGTTTCTCGAGACATACCAAAAACAGATCCCACGGTCCCACGTGTTCGATTGGAGTTCCAGGTGGCCTATGGGGCCAACGCCGCTGTGACGGAGAACACGCCATCCACCTGGGAGAGCAATCCTCAGAAGCCGGGGGCCTCGAACACTCGGGGCAGGACTCTGGGCGCATGGGAAGACGCGGCGACTGGCGCACCGATGGTTTTCTGGGATCCTTTACATGACCTAAGCATCGGGGAAAACAACCAAAAAAGATTATATGTCCCACTAAATGGGAAAAGTTCATTTGTGGGCCGGGAATATTGATCAACTTCCATATGGGTTCATTGAATCAGTCCCTACAGAGAACCAGCCAAAATTGTTGGGTGTATCTGTCTTTTTAGGCCCGAAACCCTTTTTTGGGTTGCTTTCAAGGGAGACCACAGGGACAACCACCATTTTGGGGTCCCCTATTTAGAGACCAACCCAAATGGATTTTAATTGATGGTCAAATTATTTTGCATGGATTTCAATGGTAAGTCAGTTTGCCAGTGTGGGTTGCTCTGAAACTCACTGACCATTTCCGCAAACAGCGAGGGACTTGTCCAATGGACAGCGTTTCCGAGTAGAAGCCGGTAAATGTGTTAAAGCGGTTGGCTACACCAGATGCAAGTTGCAGGACCCCGATTTGCCAAGTTGACCCCTGAGGAGCCCCATCTACTTTGGCACAGCTCCCAACGCAGTACTTTGAAAAATTAACGTGCTTACATTTTCAGGTTTGGGCATGTCTTTTTTGGGGTGGCACTTTTTTGGGTTCAAAGGGACACCTAAGGGGCAAATTCAGGTGTGGCTGACCTGTTTTAAGACACACCCAATATTGTGCATTCGGTCGTGGATGATGCACTCTAGAACTCATCAGAGGCGCCAGGGAGTTGTGATCCTAGACAAATTAACAGAGATTGGCTCGCATCAAAGCCTGGTCAAGAGCCATCATGAGAAGGTACAGAAAGGCCATGACACTTAAGTATGGTTTAACTGCCACTGGAGAGTTACCCAGAGTCGCCGTATGGCTTAGTTACTATGAACTCACAACATCATGCGTATGGTTACTAAGTAGTAAATTAAATGCAGGGAGGACCTGTGTGTGTGTGTGTGGGTGCGTGGGTGGGTGGGTGGGTGCTTTTGTGTGCGTGCTTTTGTATATTTATACATCTATTGGTACTTCTACATCATGATTCAATGAGCAAGAACCGCCAACAAGGGGCTTGGTGCGGCTCAGGTCCTTGGAAGTAATCATCCTCCGTCCAGCTCCGGCGTCAGGTCGAAAGCAGACACAGCCTATGGGGCACAGTCCTCATCCGCCACCGAGCCGTCAGGGGGCTGAGTGCGGTGTGCGTCCAATGCAGTCGATCGAGTTTTTGTGTCGAGTGGTTGGATCCATCCATTTGGATCATTCTAATTTTTGCAGATCTCATGCTCAGAAGTCCACAAACTGAATCAAACTTTTGGCCAATGGATTTCAATCTGCTGAGGCCATTGACTCGTCCCTCTTTTTCCGTCTTGGGGGGGGGTTTCGCTTCAGCAAAATTAACAAGACGAAACTGTGCCCCTTCCATTTCTTGGCCACTGGGGCTTTTCTCTCGGTTGCTAGAGGTCTGCGAGGGGGTACGGTTCACCACACGTGATGGCACTGACTCGCGAAGGACACGAGTTCCTGGGCGGTTCCCAGCCATATTCATATTATCCTTTCGGTTGTTTTTTCGAGTGTAGACGGATGATGCCATATTCCAGTGAAAGTAGAACGATTAGAAAGAGATCCACGAGCCGCAAAGATTTGGTTTGTTTCAGGGGATATCAAAAGCAAAGGTCCTTCCTGTGTTGTTTCTGTCAAGCCTACCACCTGGGTGACTCCGAGACTGAAATGGCTCGGCCAATCAAGGGCAACCATTGTTTGGTGGCTGAATGGCTGAATTCCAAGTTGGTAAAGACACCCTAAGGGTTCTGATGGAATTTGGGGCCTCAAAATGTGTCCGTTTGACCCCTAAAGCAACTCGTGGTGGTATGGGGATCCCCAGGTTCTTCTGCATACCAAGCTCCATGACCCTTAGGGTAGGGCATTTTCTTAGTTTTGACCTTCATGTCTGAAGCTCTACTCATCGGAAGAAGACAAACAAAAGGTCAATGTTCACTTCCTGAAAGCTGAGCTCAACACGGACGACACGAAAGTCGGACACAGTCTTGATGTGGCTGTCAATGTGAGAATGGACAGCATCACTCCAATTGACCTGGATTTCACAGGAGACCCGTGGATGCTTCTCTTGACAGCAGAGGACGTCCGATAAAAGAGATCAAAATAGAGACTCCTCCAAGGAAGCCACCCAATCGACGGATTCTGCTCCTTTGCAGGTGCAACGGAATCCATGGTTCTACGTTTGGAACATCGTGCTTCCCATGCTCATGATTGTCATCATGAGTTGCAGTTCCCAATTCATTCCTGCCAAGCAGATTCAGAATTGTTTAGCAGCCAGTTTGACTTTGGTGCTCACAGCAGTTGCTTACAAGGTACTTGTAAGCAACTGCTGTGAGTACCAAAGTCAAACTGGCTGCTAAATACTGTACAATCTGGTGCAGACTGTGCCTCCCATCGGCTACCTCACCTAGCTAGACAACTACGTGCTTATATAACTTATATATGTGCTACGGTTTGCTCTTTGCAGCTGTAGTGGAGAACTGTGTCGCGTACTTCTTCTGAAAGAGGAACTGGAACTACAACTCCTGCAGGACGACTTGGACTGGCGCGAGTATTTTTGCGCTGCTTAACCTGTGCTTGGCATCATGGCATTTCGTGCCAGGTGGTTTCCCAGCAGAATCTCCAAGAGGCTGAGGGATGAGAAGCGGAGAAACGAGCTCTCATTGACGGGACACATAGGACTGCCTGAAGTTCCTCAATTCTCTCCCACAGTGAGGCCACCTGCGATCGGTTGTTTTTAAGTCAAGCGCAGGGACTTGGGCTGCAATACGCATCCGAATGCCGGAGGTGTGCCAGCTGCAAGCCAAACGGAAACTCTAAAAAGGGAGCACCGATAGACGAGAGGGGGCCGAATCCCAAATCCCAATTGCGATATGGGCAAACCATGTTAGAGCATCATGGGGCAGGTCCCGTTTCACTGCGCTAGCGTTTGGCTCCACTGAGGTCCGCATTTGAGAGCAACCCAGCTGAGAGCAAGGCTGGATCCAAGTGAACTGCCTTCACTTCTCCCCGCAGGTGATCTTGGCTACAACAGGGGGGCTGTGCCCTTGCGTGCACAAGTCATCAACCATGTAATTTATCTCTCTGGTTTTATTCACATGCCCAACGGCCTTTTCCTGTTTGTTCGTCTCGCTTAAACAGTTGCCATGCATCCCGAAAGTTGCACGAACGTTCGACCATGACACCAATCTGTGGATGGCCACAATCCACTCAGCCAATTTCACAGGGCTTCCTCCATTCACAAAGTCGTGTGCGCTTGTTGGTTTTTGGGCTATTTTGGAGGCTTCGAGACACCAGACAACATGGGGTTTTCTCAAACTGAATTAAATAGGGAACCCAAAATGGTACCCTGCCTTTCGGCTTCGGCTTTCCCAAGCCTCAAAAAAGAATGACAAACCCCAAATCAACCTGAGGGAATGAATCAATCCCGTGCGGTTTCCTTTGTGGGGGGGAACCCTTCACATTCAAGTCTAGCTCGAATCAGGCGGAGGTGGGCTACGGGCGCCAGGCGGTGCCCAGCTCTGAGGCAAGACGAGATCTCGGTAGACCTTTAGTGGGGCTTTTGCTTTTCCTTTAAACCAACCTCAACAAGGGATTCCCTTAAAAACACGCACACCCATATAGCTCCTTGCATTATTCAGGTTACTCCCAATTGGCCGTTTGGATTGGTGGTTTGGGGATTTGCACCCTTGGCCCTTGCACGTAACTGGGAACTACCTTTATCACCAACTGGAGGGAAGCTGACCTATGCATTTCTTTCTTTGAATTCTGCACTTCTTTTGATTGTGCCCCTCGTTTGATTGGACAGTTGTGGAGCCTTAAGACAAATAAGCCCGGGTGAAGGGACTAAATCTTTGCAAGCCACCGCCTGGCAAATATCTTGGGCTGATTCCAGAATAAGGGTTTTCTCGGACATGTAATATTATTCACACAGTTGATGATTCCAAAGTGCCACAAGATTTACTTCACCACGTGCTAGGCGATTTTGGTTGCTCCAATTGGTTGCGCTCGGCTAGGTTTCTAAATCCGCAGATCTGGACCCCAACAATTCGCGCCCCAAATCCTGAAAGCAAAGATGAATGCGGTCTGAGCAGGAATGGAATGCCGCAAAGAAGACCTCACCAGGCCAACAAAAACGAGCGCGTGGATTCGAAGTTGGTTGCGTGTGGAACGCTAGGCGCCTTCAGTTTTTGAAAGCCAGCCGCAGTCCAGGCGCGTGGGCGCGCAGCGGCAGCCCATGTTTGTTGGCTTAGTCAAGATTCAAGTGAGGCCCAAGGATGCTGCTCGGGTCACCAGGAAGTAAGAGTCACTCAATGGATACAGACTCGCTCGAAATCAGACTAGTTCCTGCTCCAAATCTTTTGTCCGCTGAGCAGGGTTTTGCGGGACTCCCTTGGGAGCCCCCTCTTCATCCGCAACAGCACCTATTGAGGTGGGGACTTATGCTTGGGTATTCCTCATCTCGTTTCATGATTGGTTTCCGAAGCCAAAGAACCCATCGGAGGTCTCCTTTCTGAGAGCTTTCGGGCTTTCGGATCCTAAGCTTGAGCCCACCTTCCTTGTCCACGAGACTCGGCAAGTGGCAGAAGAGGGCTTTGGGGGTCTTACGGATCTTCGGGGCCATCCCATTCGAGATGCAAGACTGTTTTTTCGGGCGGAATCACCCAAGCATCAGCATGATGATCATGATGATGATGATGATGATGATGATGATGATGATGATGATGGTAATTCTCAAGTGAGCAGCGCCCGCACCGAAGCCGATTCTTATTGGCCACTGCGGTGCGTGGTTCTACTTGCGATTGTTTTGAGCATGTCCCCTTCATGACCCAGTATGCCAACTACACATGATTCTCTGATGAGGCAATTTGGTTTCAAGTCCCCACTCCCTACCCCCAGCAATCATGGATGCAGGAAGGTTTGTGGAAGACGAAAGCAACTTTCCTTTTGGGCACCATTTGTCCACCATGATTGAATTGTTGGATGACCATTTTAGCCTTTGGGTGCCTGCTGGAGGGTTTGTGGAGAGGAGACCAAAAGAAAACTACCCAATTTTGGGTGGTTTGACAAGCCCATTTCGCCCCGTTTTCTGGTCCGTGGCCAGCGGTGTGCTTTCGCCCGCAGTAAAGCGGAGTGGTCCTACACCAAAACCGCGGCGGCGGAGCAGACACAGTCTGTGCGCCTGACTTGCATTTGGGTTCTCAAAATTGGTCTGTCTTAAAATTGAGACAAACTAGAACTGGTACCCTCAAAACAGACACCCAAATAAATTAGTTCCCCCTACGCTTACTCTCACCTGTTCGATGCTGGGACTACCCTTCTGGGTTGGGCTTTCCGGCCAAGGTACCAAACCCCGTCCCAGGTCTATAAAGTGCTCTTAGATTCTTTGGGGGTTGCAACAAAAAGGACCCGACCCGTGTTGTTCACAGAAATCCTCGAGGATTCCTCTAGGGAACCGGGACTTGGCATGGCGGTTTTCCTATTTTGGCCATGGCCAGGCGTTCTTTGTCGGAGGAAAACGGGGTCCTGCTGTGTATGGGGACACATATGGAAAACTGAAGCATGAGGCTCTCCGGATTTGGAGCCGGAGGAAACCGGAAAGGTGTTCCAACCCTGTGTCGCGGAACTCTCCGTGTTTACAGGAAAAGGACACCGTGAATTTGAGAAGCCCTTTCGTCTCACCCGGCTGGCTAGGTGTCCTCCTTCCCCCTTTGCAAATTGTGATGCCACGAGTCCCCAAGCATTTGGAGGGGTGAATTGAAGTCAACTTGACAGTAGTCAGAATATATTTTTTTCCAGTTTCACTTGGGCAACTTGAACAAGCTTGCGCTCAGGAGAGAAGCAAGACGCCACTCCAGGGTTCATGTGGACAAAATCCGCCCCGATCGGCACCAGTTGGGATTGGGCTTTTCTCCCATTCAGAGAGGTACAGAACACAATCTTTCCGTTGGCCCCTGTCAAGAAGCCCCCAGTTTGCAGACACGTTTTGTTGGCGCGCGGGAAGTCTGCCACGTCCACCAAGGACCCCTTGGTACCTTCAAAGGGGTCTTCTCTGGGCCCCCAGCCCCGAGGTAACCTCCCGGAACCATCCAAGCAAAAGCCTCGATTTGCCTTTCGAAGAAACGGGCCAGGTGTTTGAAAGCCAGCCGAAGGAATCCTCTGCTGCGTATGGTCATTCCTCCAAGGCAGGCCGAAGTGACCCTGTGAAAGATGAAAGACAGGGGGGTTGAATCAGGGTCAACATGACTGATTTTGAGGTTCAAATGGGGCAGGTTCGTAGTCGTTGAAGTGGGTTGGCTGGTTATCACTCGCATCTGGAATTGCCTGGATGTGGCTGTAGCGCATTGCCGTGAAATCCCAGTCGGCAAATGGAGGTAGAAATTGATCCTTGCTTTTGGTTATTTAAGGAGCCCAAAGGAGCAATTATTGGAAGCAGAGTGGCCAAGCACCGCTTTGGTCCGTTTGGGATGCCCTGTTCGTGGTTGTGGCCCCATTGGCAAAACAGCTTAAAGCATGTCAAACATGATTCTCCCACAAGGAGATAGTTTGATATTCATTTAGGCGCACGCCTCGTTAGCCACCTCCCAGCAGTATGCCGGCTTCAGTGTCAAGAGCAAACCCGATGGCCCTGCTTGTAGATTCCAGCATTCAGAATCCTCTGCAATCATGGGCTTGGGTAGCAAAAAGCAGAAACGAATCCAGGGGTGGGCAACGACGCATGTATCCCTCGGAGTATGTCGGCTTCAGTAAAAGTGCAAATCCCACGACCATGCCAATTGATTCAATCGTTAGGAACCTTCCTCCATCGTGGGTTTGGGTAGAACAAAGCAAGAAAGGAAACCAGGGTAATCAGGCGAGTACCTTCACGTACGCCACAACCCCATTTTACTTGGTCCAGCCACAAATCAGCGGGAATCTTGGGAGTTTGGGTAGACCACCTTCGGTTTTGAGTGTGACTCACCTGCGTCCTTCCAGAATATTCCATGCAAAGCCCCCAGAGGTTAAACCCAAAGGTCTGTAGCAAAGCGCCTCATCTGCCCAAGTTCAGGAGACCTCCGGCAGCGATCAGCCTTCCGTCTTCGAGAGCCAGCCCAAAGCGAGCTCTGCGATGGCCGGGGCCCCAAGCCTCGACGCATTGGTTCGATTGGTGCGGACAGGTGTTCGTTGCCGTTGGTAACCGAGGTTGCAATCTAAGTCCCCCTGGGGTGAACCCTGTTGTGTCGAACCACTAGCTTGGCAACGGACATCCAAGGGAACCAACAAGGGTATGGGAAACCAGAAGCAGATCCCCTGAAGGGAAACCAGGATGATGGGGATCATTCACAGATGAGAACCAGCTCAACAATTTGGTTCAGAGCCATTTGTTTACTGGGTAACAGTTGGCACAATTTCATCCATCCCCTTGCCAATACACATTTGTGGACATGTGTTAGTGATTGGTTTCACAACCTTGTGGCATGGTTTTTGCCGCCGGGCGTGCCATGGCTAATTCCATTGTCCCTCAGAGCCATGACTGTCGCAAAATGCGCCAACTGAACAAAACAATCCAAGCTTGTTGAAGCATTCCCAAACGGAATGAAGAATGGATACACAGCGCCGGTTGCAGAGGGAGCCAGCGCTTTTTTCTGCCCCGCACGCGCATGTGTGTGTGTGTGTGTGTGTGCAGTGGGTGGCTGGGTGTGCGGGCGGGCGGGCGGGTGGGTGGGTGGCTGGTGGGTGGGTGGGTGCGTTATTATTTTCGCGTTTTTGACGGGGGAGCGTTTGTTTACATGTCGTGTGTTGCCCTCGGAAGCCAACGAGCGGGGCACCCTGGATTTAGGCCACTTTGCTAAATCCGAAGTTTCGTCCCGTGACGCGGACTCCGAGGTAAGTCACAAGGACAAGAGCTCAACTCCGGCCACGGACCAGTCGGTGTTCGAGAGCCAGCCGCAGCAGAGCAAGGCGGGTGTGACGTAGGGGGTCACTGAATGACGTAAAGCCCGGGTAGTTAACCAGCTATTTGTCACTCCTAAGTTTCACAGAATTGTTTCAAACACGCTTGTTTTCGTGGGTATAATTGGTGCACTTTTGCATGAGTAATACTTGATCGAAACTAGGGGAATGCTGGTGACCCAGCCCAAAGAAAGTCAAGATGTTCCATGAAGATATCTTGCTTGATGGTTCCTCATTTCTGGCTAGGGAAGCATTGTGATTTTCCAAGATGGATGTGTTCATGCAGTCAACTGTCATTCGACTCATTCGACATTATTTCTCATAGTTTACACGCTTACTGGAATCCAATGTGCTTCTCCAATTGAGCGAAGATTCATGGGGGTGTCTTTTGTTGAGGGTGCCCTTTGGATGATTATAGCAAGTTAAAAGGACACCGTTGCCATTTTGGGAGTTGGGAAACCACGAGGCTGAGATTCGGCACGGCACCAACGAGCCCTCAGCCGTCCAGGCTGGAGAAGCAAAGCGGGTGGAAACCCACGGGATCCATCCGATCGGTGGTTTATCCCGGGGTTTGATCCATGGTGGAAGAGTTATGTGCACAGTAGCATTTGAAAGGACCCTTTCAGGTGCTATGTGTAGAAGTGCCATGTGAGAGAGGTGCAGCAATGCAGGTCTTACCTTTTTAGCCCTCTTTGAAAGACAGTTGGACCAGCCCTACACCAGCCCTCAACCAACCCTAAACCAGCCCTAAACCAACCCCAAACCATGGAAGTGTGTGGAAGCAAAGGCATGGAAATGTGGAAGTGGAAGCGCAGGTGTGCTGTGTGAAGTGGACCTGGCGTGGACCCGGTCAAAGTGCAAGAGCCCTTCTCTGGGCGCTAAACAGCCCATATTAATTGTTTGAAAGGGAAATCAAGGGGGATGGGACATATCCCCCCATAAACCCAGGAGGGCGGCTTTTTCCCACCGGGCAGCATCGGTTTCTCGTGAGGAACCCTCGGTCTTTGAGAGCAAGCCAGCTGAGAGCAAGGCCCGGATGTGGCTGGGGCGCAGACAGGTCCTTTTAGGGCATTGTGCTACCATGATTGCAATTCAGCGGTCTCTTACAGGTATAGGATCCCCGTTTGGCCAGTGCTTTTTGTTTGCCCACCAGTGGCAGTCTACCGCGGGAGTGGGTGGCCGTTTTGGAACCGCTGCCCCAAACCACAGGCAGAAACTTCCACCCCCCCCAGACCTTTCGACCTTCCTGTTCTTCAAGCACCCTGGAAGTTTCGGCAAAAGCTCGACTTTGCAAGTCAAATTGCTATGCAGGGGAGAAGTGGCGACTGACACACCTTTCCTGCTGGACCCCTCGGGCTCTAAGGGAGAGCCTAATGGCCTAAAGCCCCCGCTGCTAGGAGATTTTGGCATCAAATTCCGGATGGCCAGTGATTTGAGCGGCCCAGCCCTAGAGTCAGCTCACGGGAAGTGATTCAGTGGCCACTGACGGCTTAAGCGCATGCGCATTCTATCAAAGGCCCCTTTTGGATGGGCTCAAAAAGGTACCTATCATTGGCACATGTTCACTCTGAGCGAGCTGACTTTTCGTGGTTTTGATCGAAGGGCGCGTGGCCATGAGGTCGCTAATGCTGGAAAGCACCCAACCGCATGTGTTTCTCTGTGTGTGTTGTTTGTGTTTGTGTGTATATATATATATGGGTTTGTGCTTGCATGCGTGCGTGCTTGCGCGTGTCAGTGCGTGCATGCTTGCGTGCTTGCGCGTGTGAGTGCGTGCGTGCCTTCGTGCCTGCGTGCCTGCGTGCCTGCGTGCCTGCGTGCCTGCGTGCCTGCGTGCCTGCGTGCCTGCGTGCCTGCGTGAGTGAGGGAGTGAGGGAGTGAGGGAGTGAGTGAGTGAGTGAGTGCGTGTGTTTGCGTTTTTGCTGGCCAGCAGGCTACTAAGTGATTGAGTATTTGGTCCCGAAGCAAGTCTTTCTTCAACGTGTTGTGATAGAATGCGCACAACCTTTTTCAATACATATAGATTCAGCTAGCGTTCCCCCCCTTCGACCAGATGAAATTGGTCCAACGAGTTTTGCTCACGCTCGACATGTCCGATGTGCCGCGTCTCGCAAAAAGGAGAGACAATTGCTCAACGCCATGTTTATTGAACATATACATTCTGCATTCCAAATGTTTTGTCCCTTCTGCCAGGTTCACTGCGCCGGGTTGAAGTTGCAAGATGACCCTCCAATCATGGACGCTGACAGGACGGTTTTGGACTAGCTTCCTTTCAAAACTCCCCCTGTCCACTTCCGTTGCCGGAAACGTGGCCTGCTGCAAGGCGCACTACAGAGCTGGCCAGAATGCTGGCAGCGAGTCTGAGTACGAGACGGATGAGGAGAAGTGAGGTGCGGGGCGGTTTATTTTGATTTGTAGTGTTTTGAGTTGATTTGTTTCGGTTTGAGATGATTATGAATTATTTGATTGGTTGGTTGGGACGTTGATTGATTGATTGATTGATTGATCCATTGATGGATTTCCACGTGGCATAGGTGACTCAAGCGATCAGTCGGGAGGTCTGGAGGTCTGGGAACCGCTCAGACATATGGCAGGTTCGCCAATGTTTGGAACCGAAAGTGGCCAGTTGGGAACATCGAGGCTCCTGGGTATAGAACCGCCCCCACACGTTAAGGGAGTCGATGGACACGTGTGGTTTCCAACATGTCGCCCCGCAAGGGTGTGGTTGGACACCTGGTACACTTCTGGCTGGCTGAGCAGTTCATATTTGAGCCAAGCTGACGCCCAGACCCAGCCTTGCCAGGAATGCCAAAGCAACTTGCGGGATGCCAAAGCAACTTCAGCAACCTGGCAGAGAGGGCTATGCATCAGACCTTCATACAGGAATGGCAGCCGGGATGGCAGGCCAGAAAAGCTTAAGCTTTTTCCCAACAAATCCAGAACCTCAGGCTTTAAGGGGGCCCCTTGGGCAGTGGGGCACCCTGCCGCGCTTGAAGCCTATGGGGCACGCCCCGGCCAGGAGATGTGAGGGACGGGTAGCGCAGGAACGCGAAAATTACCCAATCCTGACACAGAGAGGACGCGACAAGAAACAACGATATGATAGGGAAGCTTAAGAGACTGTTGTTTGTTTGGTGGTGTAGTTGTTGGTGGGGGATTGCACACCTTTGCCTAACCCAGCTCGTTTAGCTGCCATTCTAGGTTACCAGAGGAGACCATGCAAAACCCAGGTAAGGAACTCTTCCCACTGGGGTGCCCTCAAAACAGCCCTGAGTAACAAGACGGTACCTGCCAGTGGAAGCTGAAAGCTTCCGAAAGGGTCATGGGCGGAGCGAGCCCCCTTGGGGCTCTCAGAAACCCGCTCAGGTGTGACTCGTGAGGACAGTTGGGTCCTAGAAATTTGAGCGGTCGGCCCGGAAAAGCAAACCGATCATGTGGGCATACCGACCCCTTTTGTCCTTTTGGTGGGTCCTAGAACATCACGCAATGGCCGTTTGTTGGTGGCCACAAGGTTGGAGAGATGCATCCGGACACGTGGGGTGTTGTTTTCCGACGTTGGGGCCTGACCGCCTTCCCCCACGAGGCGGATCGCTTTTCACTTTTGAATTAGATCTTTCTTGCAGCGTGGTTCCTGCGCAGTGAGTGCAGGCTGGATGTTACCGACGCAGTGCTCACCTCGCAACTAGCTTTGCGTGTGCGCGTGGAGATGAGGCCTCTTATGTCTCGCAAAGGTGCGAGAACTTGAGGAAGACACAGTCGATTTAGCTGACAAGTTGCGTCAGCGTGTCGATATTCCACCGTTGCATGCGGCGGGGGCTGCACTACCTAGACTTGCCAACAGCTGTGCTGAGCACAGAGCTAGGGCAAGTTGAAGCATGTGGCAGAAGAGAATGATGGGCGTGTCGCTTTTACTTTCCGGCCTAGGTTTTCAGGGGGAGAAAGCTTTTTCTTTCCGGCCCCATGTTTCAGGGAGACAAACAGGCAAGCCACTGCCGAGAACGAGGCTGGTAGCGCAGTGCCAGTCTTATGTAGCTGGTCGGCATAGACAGTGCACAATGTGCAGATGCGAAATCGGGATGGTTAAAAGTCGGCTCGCGACTGTAAACTGGCCGTGACGCGTTTTGGCTCAACAACTTATCGGTTCGTCTCAGAGTGGATCGTAGAAAAACTGTTCCCGGTTTGCTTGCTCGCTCTGCTATTCAGTTCTTCAGACACAGGACAATATGTTTGTAGCCGGAATGAGAACCCAGAGGCACCACATGATTGCCTCCCAGCCCCCTAGTTGGTTTTGAACATAACATAACCTTTTAGGCCAAGTTGCTGCGATGTCCGTTAGGTGGGGGTTCTACAGGGAAAACGTATGGATCCCAGCAGTCTTGGTTTAGTCCTGGCCTCGGAATGAATCGCGAGGGACTTAGTTTTGTTGATGTCTTCCCTCATGGTCCGTGGGTGTTTTGTTTTGATAGTCCCCCTGGTCCGTAGGTGTCCTTTTCTTGATAGTCCCCCTTGTTGGTTGGCTTTCAAGGGAAGCCGACAGGGAAATCGCGATTTCGGGGTATCCCTTACAAGACGACACCCACATCCGCATGGAGAAGCCGTCCCGTCTGGACATGGAACTGAGAGCCGAAGCTTCGGCCCCATCCTCTTCGCTGGCGATGATCCATCGGCTTGGTCGCGTAGATCAAACTTCCATGGTCCAATGGGTATGCTTGAAATTGGGGACATGCGGTCTGGATGCCTGAAAGAAAGTCGCTTATCTCCAGAAGATCATGCACGTCTGCCCACGAGCTCATTTTTTGGGAGAGGCTCCTTCAGCCCAGGCACGTGGAGAAGTGGTTCTGATAGGTTGCTACTTTTTGTGATGGCAAGGGAATGATGGAATCTGGAAAGCTCCAAAGTGGTCATGGGGGGATCGCCCACTTCAGCATCACGGGTCCCCGAGAGGCACACATGTCCTGTCGAGAAAGACAATTCCCCCCTTGAACGGATCCCGTGTCAAGGTGGCTTCTGTTTTTTTCAAGCCAACCAATTCCGAACAATATTTTCCCATGACTTAGTGCAGTTTGATGGTACCCCAACCCCCCATCCGAATTATTTCAGCGCCTCGTCCCCTGGATGGGGTGGCTCCACATTGAAAACCTAACCCTACCCCATGGCAACATTCCAACATTGTTTGCTTTTTGACAATTCCCTTTATTTACCCAGATAAAGGGAATTCATCTTGGTGTCTTCCCCTTTACTTACCTACAAGGGAATTGTACCAAGTACGTTCACCCTAGTCTCCAACCAGAGCCCTGGTTCTCCACCTCGCTCTCGCCTCCGCTCACCGCAGCTCTTTGGACCAACGTGGCGGCGGGGTCGGCGCTCGGCCGAGATGGCATCACAGGCAGCGGATCTTGTCCTTTGCCGCGGGGTTGTCGAGCGGCATCAACTACCAAAGAGGAGTTGGGGATGGTGGTAATTTAGAAACCACTACCCCCAATCCCGTTTTGATGATTAATGCCGAAGAAAGATGAGTTTCCAAAAGGAGGTGCTCTCTTTGAGGAAACGGCCCTGGCAAAAGGGTTCATGGAGAAACACGGAGCGAATGTGACTGTTACTTGGTTCAAGGGTTGCAGCCTTTGAGCCCCCTATGACCTTCTGGCTGTGTCATGCTTTGTCCAGCAGTCCAAAGCAAAGCCTCCAGCCAGGATCTGGGTGGCGGAGGCTATGTCCCGGGTTTAACAGGCACCCAGTCAGCATGAATTGGGCAAAGAAACCGGAGGCCCTGCTGGGCAGCGAAACCACTTTTTTTTTGCGAATCAAGTTGGCGCATAAATTCCGACCGCTTCCAAGCGCCAGGCTCGGCAGAGGAAAGGCAAACCTCCAAAGAACCCGCCTGAGATCGATGTGGATCTGCCAGTGCGGGCCTCAGAATTTACGGCCGTGGCACAGGGGTCCTGGAAGACCATTTTCCTTCAAAAGGGATCTGGGGGGTTCCATGTGAGTGGACCAGAGAGCATTGATTGTCATCTGCGGAAGAGGGGACGACATGGGTCACACTCACCAGACTACCATTGTTAGATATTTGGGGTCACTTACCAAATTCCTATGTTTCGGAAACCATGAAATTCAGCATCGAAAATGTCAGGGTTCTTGTATTCGTTGGCAATGCTACTTTGTTGGGTTCTGTTTTGGAATGACATCCTGGAAGAGACTACTGTTCTGTAGGTTCCTCCCATGAAACTCGCCTTCAAGTTGATTGCGCCCGAAACCTTTATCCTTGATGAGCATTACACACCCCAATCACTAACAGTGTGTACACATTTTGCAGGAGGTTGTTGTTGATTAACCCAGACATACTTGGGTTTGTCTGAAATTGGTGTACTACAGAATGGATAGTTTCCCTTTGGCTTCTCTTTGAATTACCTGACCCGCCTGCATGAAAAAAACGCTCCAATCACCTGCCGTTGCGCTGTGCGTTTACGCATTTTGCATCCGGGAGAGTTTGTCTTCGTACCCTTTAAAGGTTGTTTGAGGTTTCCCCAAAAGGACGGTTGTTCTAGACCCTTGGGTTGGTGTGGGAAGCCAAAAGGGTGTGTTCCCCCCGCAAGATGGTTGTTTTCCTCTTGGTTTCCTTTTTAAACCAACCAAAACCAGGTCCCACCCCGCCCTTCACCCCCAACAAAAAAGAGCAAAACCAAGCAGCAAAAAGCAGACCCAAAACCAAAAGGACCATTTTCGGGGGTTCCAACTTCCTGCCAAATTTTCGTGTGTCCGGATAGAGGACACGGCCGTGGCGCGCCTCGCGGCGGGGCTTCCCACCCCAAGGCGGGTGGGCAAGCCCGGGGCGGGGGACATGCGGAGTGGGCACCCAGGAATCAACGCCTCCCTGCGCTTCCAGTTGGTTCATAAGTTTTCGGGATAGAACTGCTTTCGGTGTTGCATGATGGTCTGATCCTACTATAGTGGGAACTGGACGCACTGGGCCTGGTCACTTTTGGAGGAAACACATTTTGCTCAAAGGGTCAAACATGCTATGGGGACATCAAGGGTATGGTGGAATGGCAAATCAACTTGCCTCTTTCTGCGAGCCAATCGGGCCCCGCAGATCCATGGAATTTTGACTACACGTATGACCCAACTAAAACGCATGGATTATCTGTCAAAAGAGGGATTCCCGCCAAACTGTGTCCCTATTGATTTCCCTTTAAACCAACGTGAACACGGGACCCTGTCCTCGTTGCTTCGGCAGCTGCCAAGGTTCAGGGACTGTCCTGTGGATAGGGTAATATTTGCAGGGGACACTTGAGAGACAGCGTAGTAGCAGGTTTTCCAGGGATGCCCATCATCCCAGCTCCACCGTTTATAGAGGCGCAATGCAACAACTCTGTGGCTGCATGTCTTAAC